ATTATTTAGTAATTAAGTAATGCGTACTTAATTTAATACATTGTTCACGTATCTTTTCTAGATATGGAATAACTGGGAAGTAATGAGGAATGCAATATCCCTATATAACATGGTCAAAAAGTTTGTTGAAGATACTAAATAAGGAAGTTCAATTTCAGTAGAGGTCAATGCCTTTTGGCAACGAACAATTTCTTGTACTTGTGTGAGTATTTGGGATACAGATTTGTCATTATCTTTGATCCCTTGCACTGAGAAAGCGAAACCGTCTACCGCAAAATCATATGAATCTGCACATTGTTTTACTGCTCCGGAGCCCTTAACAATATTGTTGCCAGTGGTGTTGAGTGCATTGACAAAGAAAGCTTTGCTTTGTTGTGCATTTGTTAGTGCTAATTTAAGGATGCAATGAAAGTTACATATCCAATTGAGGACTCCATTGCTCAAGGTGTATGTTTCTTAAATTGAAGCTAAAGTGATTATAAATTATTCGTTTGGTTTAAGCAATGGATGAATGGAGATCATATTATAAACAACTCAAGAAGGGGGTATGGGTCTAAATTTAGGAGGGCCGAAGGTAAAGAAACCCATGTCTTTTGACGTGTTTAGTTTTCTGGTCCTTTCGTTTTTGTTTTTTCTCTTACGTACTAACTAATAACGCATTGGATGCAAACCACCAAACCTATTCTAGTTTAATTAACCAACTCATCCTTTCGAGAAACTCCAACATATCCAAAAGTGATGCATGCTTATGAAAAGTAATTTTTTTTTATTCCATTGCAATGATTAATTTAGCCATTTGATTTGTTTTTTGACAAATTCATCTACATCCATATTTACTTATCAATATATATGTTAGAAGAATCTAAAAAATTCAAATTGATAGTGTTTGAGGAGTATCTTTTAACCCATTTCGTCATGTTCAATTAGCAATTTGGGAGGCTCGAGCCCTATTAAGCACGGTTGCGATAGGTGGCCTAGGGGCATGGGGACATGGATCCTTGACCCGGAAGTCCAGCGCCTTGTTCGACCTCCGAAAAGTTTGTCCAACCTAAGGGTTGTGGGTTATAACATTCAAACTTGAGCTTTGCGCCGTTTGAAGGAATAATGATTCGGAAATGAGCCGAGGGAGTATAATCAAGACATTTTGTGTTTGATTTCCAGAAACATTCCGTTCACACCAATGCTTTAAACATTGCTAGACCATTATCGAGCGGCAGTTAGGGTCTTAACTGTTGACCTAGGTTTTTTTTTTTTAATATCTTTATTAGATTTATTATCTGACATATAAATAGGTGCATATTTATACTTAAAATAAATAAATAAACTATAATTGTAATTGTAACATCCCACATCGTCCAGGGGAGTGGATCCTGTATGCCTTATATGTATATTTCCATCTCTTCCTAGCACGAGGCCTTTTGGGAGCTCATTGGCTTCGGGTTCCATCGGAACTCCGAAGTTAAGCGAGTTCGCGCGAGAGCAATCCCATGATGGCTGATCCACTGGGAAGTTCTCGTGTGAGTTCCCAGAAATAAAACTGTTAAAGCGTGGTCGGGGCCCAAAGCGGTCAATATCGTGCTATGACGGAGTAGAGCTAGGGATGTGGTGGGGGCTCGGGCCGGGATGTGACAATTTGGTATCAGAGCCAATCCCTGGCCGAGAGTGTGCCGACGAGGACGTCGGACCAGTAAGGGGGGTGGATTGTTACATCCCACATCGCCCAGGGGAGTGGATCCTGTAAGCCTTATATGTATATTCTCATCTCTTCCTAGCACAAGGCCTTTTGGGAGCTCACTGGCTTCGGGTTCCATCGGAACTCCGAAGTTAAGCGATTTCGCGCGAGAGCAATCCCATGATGGGTGACCCACTGAGAAGTCGTGTGAGTTCCTAGAAATAAAACCATGAGGGCGTGGTCGGGGCCCCAAAGCGGACAATATCGTGCTACAGCGGAATCGAGCTCGGACCGGGATGTGACATAATGAAAAAACTTAAAATGCAAAAAATAAATGTAAATAAATTATAAAGTACTACAAATTATTGAAAACATCAAAGAACAATCGCAAAGAGAGACGAACATATCACATTGGATGCAAACCACCAAACCTATTCTAGTTTAATTTGTTTTGAACTGAAACCAATTTCTCCTATCTAGAACATGACAAAAAGTGAAGCATGCTGAACAAAAGGATTTTATTTTATTTTATTACATCGGAAGGATTAATTTAGGCTATTTCATTTGCTTTTTACAAATTCCTCTACATTCATATTTACTTCTCGATAAAAATAATATATGGACTTCTGAAGAATCTCCACAAATTTATATTTTCTATAACAAATTTAAGTGTGTCTATCATATAAGCGAAAACGGAAAAGTATATATGAAACAATATCCAACAATATGCTTTAGTAGACAAAAGTTGGCATATTGTTTATCGGCATTTCTTTCTCTCTTTTTGTTGTTGTATACCGAGACAGACCCTTATCATCAGGATAGTCGTCCCTCTGAAACTTCAGGCACAGCCCAGGCAAACAATCCGTATGTCCATTATTCGCCTGTTCTGGTGACATCGAATTCTTCTACCAAGCGTTAGTGTTTTTGTTGTTCCCTTGTTTCTTTACGCAGTTCTCTTAAGAATCAATCCTTCGATTATAATAATGATCATTAGCTAGCCTTAATTTAACTGATAAAGAAATTTCTTTTGGGAAACTTTTGTACTCTAGTTTTATCCATGCTTATAAAAGTACCAAATTTTAAATTTTAGTGCTACTTGACTTCTTACATGTAAAAACCTTTTCAATTATAGTTTGATATATGTGAATCTCACGCAGATAATGTGGAGTAAAAAATAATAAAGAAAATTATGGAGGCGACACGTATACTTTTGGGTGAACATGGCAAAATTACCCTCAAGCTACACCGGAACTTCCACGCGCAAGTAGCGGACCATAACGACTCAATCAAAGTCAATAGTGATCAAAATAGATATTTATTCAAAATCTATTTCATCCATACTCATCAAATCCTCCCCACAAGGTAACCCTCAATTATTCATTCAAATTAGGATTAATTACCTAAATTAATTGATTAATTTCCTAATTAATTAATTAATTTTCTAATTGATTGCAAGATATTATTTTGACATAATATCTTGCAATTACATCCAAAAACCACCATAAGTGGCCAGACCCCTTTTCTCAAAATAGGTGTCGGCCACTCCCCTATAAATAGCTCTCATTTCTCCCAAAAACCTAAGTTCATTCTTCTCCAAAAATTCTCTAAACACTTTCTTTCTCAAATTCTAACTTTGGAATCAGAGGTTCTTTGGCCAAAGCCCCCCCATTCATCGTGGGCGTGTGAGGCTCTTGGCCTTGACTTAAAGTGTTAATTGTTTTGTAGGTGCATTTTTGTCCAAGAAGAAGAAGGCGGAAATTTGCAACCACAAATTGGTTCTTTCATTGAGAGTTTGATTCACAAGCTCCAAGAAGACTCTCGCATTCAAGGTTTCTCAATTTTTTGTTCATTCGTAGATTTTTCATACGTTCTTATTCCTAGAATTTTTTCATATAAAAAATTCTTTGAATAAATGTAAAAGAAAAGTACAATGACAACAAATTTGGAAACCACAATGAACGAAACTTCTTACGTTCAAAGATTCGGATCAAGTGATGGAGATTGTGATGTAGCCCCACCACGACGATCCACAAGGCTCAATGCGGTGGCAAAAGGTGCAACTTGCCCACCACGGAGCACCACCACTATGGTAGCCACAGGGACCACCGTGCCAGTGAGGAGTGGACCAGGTCCATGGCAGCAGACCATAGCCTTATGCGCTGCCACTACAGCAGCCCAAACCCAGGACCAAGCCCAGGCCTAGGCGATAGCAGCAGCTGCACAAGTATCCCAGCAGGTGGCTCAATCTGCAACCCATGCCCAGCACGAGCAAGCCCAAGGCGCATTGCAGGCCTGAGCTGCGTTGACCATTCCCTCGGCCTAAATCTAATGCGCTATCAGCGCTGCACTGCGCCCACATGCCCCGCACCGCGCCCACGTGCCCCGCACATGGCATTGCCCACTTCCGAGACCCAACCCACTCCCGTGGCTCACTTGGCGATCCTGACTATTCCAAAACCGGTTAAACAGTCCTGGATTCAGATTTCTAGACCAACAATTAAACTGGGGACATTTTACCCTATTTCTCCGCAGATTTGACATTTCCCAACTCAAATCTTGCGCCCAATGTCCACTACACTTCCGCTACTCAAGGAGACACATACCGTCTAAGCTCTCCCAACCCGAATAACGAACCACACTTGTCTCGACAAGTCATAGAGTTGACAAGCATCCTCGCATAACAAACAACTTTGGTGAATCAGCTCTTGCAATGCACCGAGATGCAACATGCTCTAGACGAGGTTTCCCAAAGCATGACAAGGGCAGACGACGAACCTCTCTAGCAGCGTCCAGGCAAACGGCATCTCAACCAACTACGATCCCGCGTTCTAGCAGTTGACGCTCTCGTATGGATCCTCGAGATAGCGTATACTTTCATCTTAGCATGAGAATAAGCGTGCACTCCCAATCAAGCCCACGAATGAGCATACGTTCACGGTTGAGGCCACACTCTGATTATCAACATGGACAACCTTCTAGGCGAAGTGTTTATTCACAACTAAGCTCGCAAAGAGCATTCTCCACCTCACATTGGAGTAGGCAGCACGGTGGATGGAGAGAAGCAGTCACTCAATCTGGCTCAAGTTCAACCGATAGCCTGCAATTAGCCCGCTCGCTTGCCAGGGACATGCCATATGCACCGCAACCACGACATAGACGAGTCGAGCATAAGGAAGAGCGGCCTAGACCAATAGGTCACCACCGGGGGCAGCCGAAAGTTCCACTACCCCAGTAGAGGCAAATTCAAGAAGAAGTTGAGACGTTCCTGACTGAACGATTACGCGATTTCTAGTGCAACAAGGCTACTGATGATACGCTTCAATGAAACATGACCAACATAAGCAGGTCACCATTCACGGATAAGATTGAACAGACAGATCCACCTTGCGGTTTCACTATGCCTCACTTCACTCTGTACAAGGGAGATGAAGATCTGGACCAACATCTTAAGCACTACTGTAGTACCATGATCCACTACAGGAACAACAACGCGGTTTTGTGCAAATTTTTTGCCACAATCTACAAGGCGAGGTGCAAGACTGGTTTCACACACTGTCGCCACAAGGAATATTTGTTTAACCGCTCAATCAAAAGGACATCCGATCATCTTTTCAGCATCGTAAAAGGCCATTGGGAGACAGTTCGCGACTATATCAAAAGGTTCAAAGCGGAGAAGGCCAAGATTGTTGGCTATATCGAAGACATAGAATTGACAACATTCAAAAATGAGCTTCTCACCGAACACCTTTTATTCAAAAAATTGATCATGGGATAAGAACTGACCATGGCAGCTTCATATGCTTTGGCGGAGAAGCACGCATTATGGGACGAGGCCAAGGAGTCTAACAAAAATGAGTCAGTAAAGAAACATCCCTCGACCAGTGAAGACTCAGCGCTCAAAACATTCACCAAGTTCACAGTTCCAATCGACCAAATTCTAAGTAAGCACAAGAATGAACCTTGGTTCGAATTGCCGCCACCCATGAAGGGCGATTTTACCAGGCTGGATCAGACAAAATATTGTGCATTCCATCAAGGACCAAGTCACACTACCAACGGCTACTAGAAGTGGAAGCAGTACCTTGAGAAGCTAACAAATGAGGGCCGGTGCGACGAGTATCTTGGCAGGTCAATGACACAGACTACATAAGCAAAAGAAATCTCCATCACCCCCTGAACCCCGTTAGTGTTTTTCCAAATAAGTTTAGGAGCTCGACGAACAAGACCTCACAAGTCGAGGATTATCCAGTTTCTTATGCAATTTCTACCTTCCAGCACGGTTGATCCGTTTCTTTATTCTCAATGAAGATTCAAGAAGTTATTCATAAGCCTAGCTCAACTACTGTTAACAACAACTGCTCAAACCCCTATATGGGTATGCTCTTCAGTGTGAGAGGATAAACTAATCGATCTCCAGTGTGAGAGGGTAAACTAATCCCCCGACACCCATCTGGGTACACTCTCTAGTGCTAGAGGATAAGCTAATTGCTCTCTAGCGATAGGGTCAACCAATTCCCAAACACCCATATTGGTAAGCTTTCCAGTACGAGAAAGCCACATAATTCAAAATGCCGATTGCTTGAAGACCAAATAGGCAGCAAATGGTGAGGGGGAGTAGCAACTTTGTACTCAACAGTTCGCTCATCTGACACTTCATCTTTAGCAGCTTCAATCTTGGCAGCTCCATCATTTACTGCTTTATCTATTGCAGCTGAGAAATCAAACTCAAGCAATTTCCTCATTTTTGGCAAATAGCCCAAACCGTGGCCCATACCACGCCACTTCCTCGGCCCATACTGAGCCAGTCCTTGGCTTTATTCAAGCCGAGCAGCATAAACAATGGCCCCTGCCATACCACCTCTTTGGTCCATGCCAAGCCGACTCCTGGCCTCTGTCAATCGACATGCCACACCATCTCGACAGCTGCCCCGTGGTAGCACCACCCAAGAAGAAGACAAGGAGAATTAAGTTTTTCTTACATCGGTGCGACGCGAAGAAGACAAAGAAATCAACAGAAGATAGTTCTTTGCACGGGCAAGCAAACAAGAGTGCTAGGTGAGGGGGAACAAATATCCTCTAGTTTTCTCTCTTTCTTGTAGGGATAAATAACTGCCCTCCGAAGTTGATTTAATCCTCTACTTAAGGTAGGCTTAAATAGGCTTTGGAGGCGATTTATTTCCCTTTGCTAGATGAATCTAATTCCAAGTCCAAGTGAGGATCTGCATCAAAGTTGGAGATCTCTACACATGCTGCCTTTTCCTGCGAGCAACCCAGTAGATGTGGGGGCATTTGTGGAGTAAAAAATAATCAAGAAAATTATGGAGGCGACACATGTACTTTTGGGTGAAATTGACAAAATTACCCTCGAGCTACACCAGAACCACCACAAGTGGCTGGACCCCTTTACTCCAAATAGGGGCCGGCCACCCCCTATAAGTAGTTCCCATTTCTCCCAAAAACCTAAGTTCATTATTCTCTAAAAATTCTCTTTATGAAATTCTAACTTTGGCCTCAGAGGTTCTTCGGCCAAAGCCCCCCCTCCCCCCATTCATCGTGGGCGCGTGAGGCTTTTGGCCTTGACCTAAGGTGTTAATTATTTTGCAAGTGCATTTTCGTCCAAGAAGAAGAATGCAAAAATTTGCAACCACAGATATGTTCGGATGATCGTTTTTATTTTTTATTTTTATTACTTTCTGCTGCTGGTCCGATGGCTAATATGGTTGAGGCATTGTGCCAGTGCGGTAAAAGGGTTGAAGTTGCCACCAGAAAAGCAGAGGCCAAGGCGGACAATGTCTGGAACCACCGTGAGTTTCTCTCTAAATGAATTCCTATGTTAATTTCTCCCTTGCTATCAAGTTTAATAGAAGAAAAATGCCAATTTGTTAAGTTTTCTTTCTTGGTAGAGCCTACAGAAATTTTGAATTGATTGATCTTAATCGATCTTCATTTCATGACAGTGAGAACGTGCCCGAGTTTCACAGACGTAATGATGGCAAAGCTAAATACCGGAACTAAGGTGCTTACTGCCGAAGCAGAAGAAAAAGTGTTTCAGCAGACATTTGAAAAAATGACAGGAAAAAAGCTCTTACATTCATATGCTTGCTATCTATCAACTTTTGCTGGAGCTGTGATTGGGATGTTGTACATCTCCGATAACGAATAGCCTTCTGCAGCGATTTCTCTTACTATTGGTGCCCAGGAAATCCAACTCTCATGCATTACAAGTTAGATATTCTAGTGGACATAAAATTCGAATTCTTCAGTTTTTCATTCGTCTAACAAGTTAGTTAATCTCACGTAGGTGGTGGTGCCGCTTGATCAGTTAAGAACAGTAAATCCTTCAGCAAACAATTGGAACCCTTCAGAAAAATAAATACAGATTGTCACAAGGGATGGTCATGAATTCTGGTTCATGGGGTTCATATCTTATGAGAAAGCCCTCAGGAATCTAAACTGAAGGAACGGTTGTTTGGTATCCATCTTGGATCCAATTTTTTTGTTTATGAAACTAATGAGTATTAAGTAGTTTAGCAATATTAGTTGGATCCAAAAGGATGCTAACTCGAGTTATTTCAAATAGATTGCAGTGTAAAACTTTAACACCCCATTAAAGTTTTATGCACACTTTCCCATTTTCTGGTTTTGCTCATCTGCTATTTTCTAAAGCTTTTTATGAGAACCAAATGTTCCTAAAGTTAGTTGAAGCTTTATACATAAGACACAGAAGAACAGAGTATCTTTAATCAACTCTCTAGCAAGTATCATATCCATTTGGGAAGCATTAATATCTTGGGAAAATATTTTGCAAACGCTTTCTCCTTATGCAATCCTTGTTTATTTATGGTCCCTTGATTCTCCCTTCATTTATTTAATCCAAAGATCAGAAATACAAGGGCATATGTAGTGTGTAGAAATCACCCTCCTTAATTTTTACATCAACGGCCCTTGAAAACAAGCAGAGGAAAACCCCAAATAACACAATTCTATATATGGCTTACATTTTATTTCGAATCAGCTAAACAGTTTTTGATGCAGCACGAGCATAGAAGGATTACAAATGTAAATCTTGAAGAACAAAGGTTTGAGGAATCCACTAGAGATTGGGATAAAACCGAAAGGTTGTCTGGATTTTTTCTAAGTTGATGCATTACATTGGGAGCCAAATGACTTAAATAGACTTAAAAAACAGCCTCGGAAAGGCTCAAGGGTTTTGGGAATAAGAACAACATTAATCATACTTAAATAGAAAGATCCGATTTATATTACAGAATTTAAAATGTAGTTTTGGAAGCCCAAACGACCCTAAAATCCATCAATATATCATAGCAAACCAGTGAGTTTAAACTAGGACGCCCTGCTCTTTTCGACAAGGTATCATGGACCCAAAACGGAGCACAGACGCCTAATCTGTAAACTACTGTTGCGCCCTTTCATATTCCTTAGGTCTATTTCGTTCGGCCATTTGTTACATTAGTTTTACTCTCAGCTAGCAATTCAGTTGTTTAATTTATAATAGAATGAACGTATCTCACACAAACTTTGCTTTGTGTGTGTGTTTGAAAATAAAGGATTTAAGATAACTTTGGAGTTCTCTACAATCTCATAATTCTCGAATAAAACTTAAATATTTTATTCTTCTCCAAAGGGAGGTATTTATAAGATTACAAAAGAGGAATACTAGGAAATAAATCAAAACAATCATTGTCCACAAGACAAGGAAACCTAGACCAAATTAAATTAAATCGTATCAAATCAATTCTCTAAAATACTTTTCTTTATATTTTCCAACACCACCCGTCAAATTCATGAAGTCATGAGTTAGCCATAAAAGAAATAAGATCTAATTGAAACTTATTTATGCTACAACGGATGTCATCGATATTAAGGTTTTACTAGTCTCTTAAAGAGGAATACGATTTGCTGGATTGCACCCACCAATTTTCCAATGGTGAAAAGTACTGCCCTTCGCTTCTAGGAGAGTCAGCATATTGGCACCAAACCTTGAGGTGGAAGTAGTGTGGTGGAATGCAGTTTTTTCTTTGAATTGTTGAAATTCCCACCCGCCTCAACAAATTCGGTTTCTTTCTTGCACAAATAGAGATAGAGGTTGAGATTCCACAACACCGCGACAATTCAATGAGCGAGCCAACTTCGTCTCTGAACTCAAGTCTTCACTTTGACCCGTGTATCCTATCAACGGAAGGGTGCTCGACGTGACCAAACTTTAGAACTCTTTCTTGACAATTGGCCTTTTTCGGTATGGTTGTGTACCCAAAACTCATTGAAAACTTAAAGCAGTAAAAAAGTGGAGAAAAAGAAAATCCAAACCTCAAAACTCAAAAGTGTATTTGTATCAATATCAATGTGACACCATGTTGTGTGGTCATCGGAAATGCTTTCATGGTTATATATGCACATTGCCATCGGAAATGCTATTATGGTCTGAAATTTTCTAATTAATTTCCTAATTAATTGATTGCACTATGGTAGCTACGTGGACCACCGTGACAGTGAGGAGTGGGCCAGCTCGATGGCAGCAGACCATAGCCTTATGCGCTGCCACTACAGCATCCCAAACCCAGGACCAAGCCCAGGCCTAGGCGCTAGCAGCAGCTGCATAAGTATCCCAGCAGGTGGCCCAATCTGCAGCTCATGTTGCAGGGCAGCCAAGCCATGCCCAGGACGAGCAAGCCCAGCCCAGCACGAGCAAGCCCAAGACGCATTGCAGGCCTGAGCTGCGCTGACCATTCCTTCGGCCAAAATCAAATAAGCTTTCAGCGCCGCACCACGCCTACGCGCCCCGCACATGGCATGACCCACTTTCGAGACCCAACCCACTCCCGTGGCTCACTTGGTGATCCTGACTAGTCCAAGACCGGTTCAACAGTCATGGATTCAGATTTCTAGACCAACGTTTAAACTGGGGACATTTTCACCCCATTTCTCCGCAGATTTGACATTTCCCAACTCAAATTTTGCGCCCAAAGTCCACTACACTTCCGCTACTCAAGGAGACGCATACCGTTTAAGCTCTTCCAACCTGAATGGCGAACCACACTTGTCTCGACAAGTAAAAGAGTTGACAAGCGTCCTCACACAACATACGACTTTGGTGAATCAGCTTTTGCAATGCACCAAGATGCAACGTCTTTTAGACAACGTTTCCCGAAGCATGACAAGGGCAGACGACGAACCTCTCCAGCAGCGTCCAGGCAAAAGGTCTCTCAACCAACCACGATACGGGCGTTCTAGCAGTCGACGCTCCCGCATGGATCCTAGAATGAGCATACGTTCACGGTTGAGGCCACACTCTGATTATCAACATGGACAACCTTCCAGGCAAAGTGTTTATTCACAACTAGGCTCGCAAAGAGCATTCTTCACCTCACATTGGAGTAGGCAGCACGGCGGATGGAGAGAAGTAGTCACTCAATCTGGCTCAAGTTCAACCGGTAGCCTGCAATTAGCCCGCTTGCTTGCCATGGACATGCCATATGCACCGCAACCACGACATAGACGAGTCGAGCATAAAGAAGAGCGGCCTAGACCAATAGGTCATGACCGGGGGCAGCCGAAAGTTCCACTACCCCATCAAAGGCAAATTCAAGAAGAAGTTGAGAGGCTCCTGACTGAACGATTACGCGATTTCCAGTGCAACGAGGCTACTGACGATGCGTTTCAACGAAACATGTCCAACATAAGCAGGTCACCATTCACGGATAAGATTGAACAGACAGATCCACCTCGCGGGTTCACTATGCCTCACTTTACTCCGTACAAGGGAGATGAAGATCCAGACCAACATCTGAATGACTATTGTAGTACCATGATCCTCTACAGGAACAACAACGCGGTTTTGTGCAAATTTTTTGCCACAACTCTACAAGGCGAGGTGCAAGACTGGTTTCACACACTGCCGCCACAGTCGATTCGAAGTTTCAATGAACTTTCCTTAGTTTTCACTAAGGAATATTCGTCTAACCGCTCAACCAAAAGGACATCCGATCATCTCTTCAGCATCGTAAAAGGCCATTGGGAGACAATTCGCGACTATATCAAGAGGTTCAAAGCAGAGAAGGCCAAGATTGTTGGCTATATCAAAGGCATATCAATGATACATTAAAAAAATGGGCTTTTCATCGAACACCCAATATTAGAAAAATTGATCATGGGAGAAGAACTGACCATGGCAGCTTCGTATGCTTTGGAGGAGAAGCAAGCATTATGGGACGAGGCCAAGCAGTCTAACAAAAATGAGTCAGTAAAGAAGCATCCCTCGACCAGAGAAGACTCAGCGCTCGAAACATTCACCAAGTTTACAGTTCCAATCGGCCAAATTCTAAGTAAGCTCAAGAACACCACCTATGAAGGGCGATCTTACCAGGCTGGATCAGACAAAATATTGTGCATTCCATCAAGGACCAAGCCACACTACCAACGGCTGCCAGAAATGGAAGCAGTACCTTGGGAAGCTGACAAATGAGGGCCGATGCGACGAGTATCTTGATAGGTCAACGACACAGCCCATATAAGCAAAGGAAATCTCCATCACCCCCTGAACCCCGTTAGTGTTTTTCCTAATAAGTTTAGTAGGTCGACGAACAAGACCTCACAAATCGAGGATTATCCAATTTGTTATGCAATTTATACCTTCCAACACGGTTGATCCATTTCTTTATTCTCAATGAAGATTCAAGAAGTTATTCATAAGCCTGGCTCAACTGCTGTTTACAACAACTGCTCAAACCCCTATTTGGGTCTGCTTTCCAGTGCGAGAGGATAAATTAATTACTCTCCAATGCGAGAAGGGAAACTAATTCCCCGACACCCATCTGGGTTTGCTCTCCATTGCGAGAGGATAAACTAATTCCCTGACACCTATCTTGGTTTGCTCTCCAGTGCGAGAGGATAAACTAATTGCTCTCCAGTGTGAGAAGGTAAACTAATTGCTCTTCAGTGCGAGAGGGTAAACTAATTACTCTTCAATGTGAGAGGGTGAACTAATTGCTCTCCAGTACGAGAGGGTAAACTAATTCCCCGACACCCATCTAGGTAAGCTCTCCAGTGCGAGAAGGCCACATAGCTTAAAAGATCGAATGCTTGAAGACCAACTAGGCATCAAATGGTCAGGGGGCAACAACCACTTTAGACTCAACAGTTCGC